CCCCCGCCCACCTCCGCCCACCTCCGCCCACCCATCCACCCATTCGCCCCTCCATGGGCAATTCCCCTCTTGCCCCTCCCTCGCGATCCCAGCACCTCTCCCATGCCTCCGAGCCTGGCTGACACCGAGAGAGACCCCCCTCGCGCTTGGATCCACCCCCGGCACCCCAAGATGGCCACCCGGCAGACCTGTCCGTTCCTCTGAATCGCATCACATCCATCCACATCCGACAGGCAGCCTCCGAGGCGCCCACCACCCCGGACCCAGCCGCCTCCTTTGTCCCCCTGCATGAGTTGGTCCTCCTGGCAGCCGGCCCCGGCCCTGGCCTGCCGACCTTCCAAATCATCGGCGACCTGCGCGCCCGGGTGGACACCCTGCGCCTGGTGTACCCCGACTATCAAGTGGGCACCTTCGAGGATAACATCATCTGCCCGGCAAGCAGCCCTCTGGAGGTGGACCAATCCACGGTCATCGTGGATCCGGTCCTCTCTTCGCACATCTTCCTGGCCCTGCTGTTTGAATTCCTCAAGGAGGGCACCCCCCGGTCGCCCAGCACCTGCCCGCTGACGGAGCACGACTTCCCGGCCCTGTCCCTCCCGACCGCCCCCAATGGCAGCCCCTCCCGCAGCAAGCGCCCCGACTTCCCCCTCATGTACCAGGGTCGGCCCTCGCTGAGCCAGCTGCTGGACCAGCACCAGCGACGCCTCCATGCACGGAATATCCCCGCCTCGCCGAAGGCCCTCTTCAAGAAGTTCTCCGACATGGCCGCCCACGCCAAGGAGAATCTCGGTGCGCATATGGGGCCGCCATCCCCCGCCCCTTGGCCGCCATCCCCCCCCCCCCCTCCCCGCCCCCCTTACTGACCATGGGCTCGCCCTGCCCCGGCAGACTACATGGACATCCATTACACCATTAACTCGCTGTCGGAACGGGCAAACCACCGGCGTCGGGACTTCCTGGCCGGACTCCACTCCAGCCACTCGGGGGCCCCGATGCCGGCCGGGCCCCAGCAGCCGGGCTACATCATCCCCCCGGGGGACCTCGATGACCAGTGGATTGTGATGGACGAGACACCCGAGATGGCGAGCGTGGCCGGGCCCGGGACCGCCTCGGTCCCCAGCAGCCTGACCGCCCACCACCAGGTGCCCTTCCACCCAGATGACTATCCCTTCGGCTTCCAGGAGGTGTGTCGGCCTTTGTGGCATTCTCCCCTTCCCCTCTGCTGCGCCAGCATGCCCATGTCCATGCCCACGACGCATACACACTTGCCCCCTCTCCCTCGCGCCCTTGCCTCTAACCTGCCTCCCTCCTTGTGGCACAGGCCGTGCCCGATGTCCAGCCCTCGTTGCTCGGAGACCTGATCCGCCAGATGGAGGGGCACACTCAGGGCAGACCCTCGCGCTTGCATGCACAGCCCCACCGGTCGCTCAAGCGGGAGGCCATTGAACGGGCCATCGCCGGCGGTCCGGTCACCTCCCTGGAAAAGAACCACCTTCTGCGGACCATCTACTACTGGGTGCGCCTGATGTTCCCTCCTCCTCTGCTTTGCCCTTCCCCCCCCCCCCTCCTCCTCCTCCTCTCCTCCTGTGGCCACCTTGACTGACCAGTCTACCGATGCATCGATGTGCATGGCTGTGCGTGGCTGCGTGTGCACATTCCAGGGCTGTGATGAGGATGCCCGGCGCCTGGCCTGGCCTTTCCTCCTTGGCCTGGACCAGTGGTCCGACACAGTGGAGGCCCGTCGCGACACTTGGGCCGCCCGGCTGTGCGTGTGCATTTGCGAAGCCAGTCCCGCGTCCTCGCCTCGAGTTTGCCGCCATCGAAAGCCGGAACAAAAGTTCAGACGTGTGCTCTTCCGGGGGGGGCGGCAGGGGGACAAACATTTCGGGCCGATTGCTGACACCCACCCTTCGTCACTCCGGATCCGGCCGCCGGGCGGGGCCCATGCCTTTTCCTTCTCTTTCCTTTTCCTCCCCTTGCTCGCTGCTCTCGCCACACAGAGACGAGTACATCCGAATCCGCGAGCGTGTGGTTCAGTTCCTGCGTCTCACGCCCGAGGAACAGCGGGACGCCGACCCGGTGGCCTCGGAGTCCTGGTGCCAGATCCGTACGCCGCCCACCATCTCCACATGAATACCCCCAAGCCGGCCGCGCGGCACAAGAGCTCCCCCCCCCCCCCCCCCCCCCCCCCCCCCCCCCCCCCCCCCCCACTGACCGCCATCTCCCCGCGTCCCGTGGCCGCCCCCAGTCAAGGACATCGAGCGCACCGATCGCAACCAAACCTACTTCCGGGACCTGAGCCAGGCCGGCAGACTGGGTCGCATCCTGCTGGCATATATCCTCCACCGTCCGGATGTTGGGTACACCCAGGGGATGAATGACTGGCTGTCCCCCCTGCTGGTGATCTCCACCAGCAGCACGGCCGGGCCGTTGGCTGGTGCCGTGCAGCCGGAGGTCACCCCATCGGTGCCCCTGGAGTACCGGAACCTCGAAGGGCCCGGGGAGGGCCTCGGCACAAATGGCGACGATGCCAACATCCCGGAGGATGTCCTCCTCGATGCCGAAACCTTCTGGCTCTTCCATGCCATCATGGAGAAGATTGTGCGTGCCTGGCCGATCGATTCCTGCCTCATCCTGCTGCCCGCTCGCCAAAGGGCAAGACACCGGGAGAGACGCCCGCCGCTGACACATACACATGCGCACGTGCGTGTGTCTGCCGACCTGTCGAACGGCGGTCTGGCCGGACCCGCGCGCTGGCACCCCCTGCTGCCCATCATATAGAAGGACAACTTCAGCCCCGATGGACGCTCGATCACCGCCCAGCTGGCCTGCCTTGTGAACATTCTCGGCCAGGTGGACGAACCGCTGATGGAGCATCTCACCCGTGTGGATGTTGACTGGGTGCTTTTCTGCTACCGGTGGGTGCTGGTGTGTCTGAAGCGAGAGCTCCCCTGGGCGGACTTCCTTCGGGTCTGGGAGGTGCGCTTTCCCGTGTGCCTTCAAGGCGATCATTGGGGGGGGGGGGGGGGACCACCTGGCGAAGAAGCGCACCTTCCCCCCTCCACCCGCCTTCTCATCCACATGAGAGAGAAAAAAGAAAATAGTACGTTAAGGGACATGGAATATAATAAAAAAAAAGAGAAATATGATCATAACTATCGAACAATGACATGAAATTCAATAAACGAACGAAAGGGGTAGCAGGGGGGGGGGGGGGGACCACCTGGCGAAGAAGCGCACCTTCCCCCCTCCACCCGCCTTCTCATCCCTCCTCCCGTCGTCGCTTTCTAACCCCCGCCCAATGACCCTGGCCATGACCTGCAGTCTTCCTGGACCAACTACGACGGGCCAAACTTCTTCCTACTCATCGCGGTGGCCTATCTCGGCACCTTCCGCGAGGAAATTCTCAGTCAGTATGTGCCCCTCCTCCCCCCCCCCCCCCCCTCCCCTCCCGTCTCTCCGCCCAAGCCCATGCCTGCTGGGGTCCCCCCCCCCCCCCTCCCCCCCTCGATCCTAACCAAATGATCCTCTTCCGCGGCTGGGGGGAAACAAAAAAAACAGGGATCTCGATGCCAGCGGCGTTCTCAAGGCGTTCAATGATCGCGCCGTGCGGCTGACCGTCGGCACTCCCTCTCCCCGGGAAGTGCAAGCCGCCGAGCGGCTGGTCCCCCAGGCGCAACTCCTCCGGCAGCTGATCGCCCACCGGTTGCCGGAGCTCCATCGGACTCTTGATCGGGATGTGCTGGCGACCATCGGCGAAAAGACCCCCGCCGACCCTGTGCACCCTCTCCACACACTGACAGCCACCAGGCCAGACGAGGGGGCCGCCTCCCGCGGCACCGCGCTGGTGGATCCCCCAGGGTCGGAGGCCGCCGAGGAGGAGTCGCAGAGCTCGCCGGCAGTCGATCCCGTCGTCCCGCGGCCGCCCTCGCCCATGATGGGGTTCTGTGACTGACCGACACGATGTATGCCCCACACACAGTGTACCGCTTTTGGGTTGGGTCAATAAAAAGAAAATGCACTGCCTCCCTCTTTGCCGGGATGGCGCCTCGGGCGTCACACATTCAACAGGACAGCCGCCCGCATGTGCTCCCCCCCCCTCCTCTGCCTCGGCTGGACATCCCCTCTACCTGCCAGAGGGATGTGCACAATGTGCTGGCGAGTGCGCGCACATGCACTTTGCCCCTCCCCCCCCTCCCGCACGCATACACAGGACAGGTGCCATATATGGCCGCGCCACCCCCCAGTGCCGCAGCAAAAAAAAAAAAAAACACCCATCCAGAGCCCGGGAAACTTCAATTATAAAATGGAAAAAAGGAGAGGGGAGAGTGCACGCGGGAGAGGCTCTCCCGAACATGCGCGATGCCCAGACGCATAGGCATCGTCCAGGGCCAAGACGCCTCTGTGGCATACTGGGAGGGGAGAGGGAGGGGGGGGGGAACAAAGGTGAGAGAGCTGAGGGGAGAAATGCGGGGAGAGGAGGAGGAGGAGCGAGGGAGTGCGTGCAAAAGGGCAGGGTTCAGCGACGTGTGATGGGTATGGCTCACTGTGGGGTTACCACTCAACAGTAGCAACTATTCGAAGTCGATGCATCAGAACAGAACAAGGCGCCAAAACTGTGCCCCCGACCAGGTCACATATGCGCACATGCATGCGCATCCACACAGCCCGGGGGAGGGTGGGGAGGAGGCACATGCGCGTGTGAACATGACCGAGCGGAGGAACAAGAAGGCACCCCGGACTGGCCCGAATGCACACACGGGAGGGGGAGGGGAGGTGGCAGGGGGGGGGGGAGGAGGACAGGAGAGGAGACATACACAGAAAGGACAGCCACCGGCGGGGGGCGACCTGGGGGACGCGTGAACTCCCCCTCCACGGCTTGGGCGGCGCCTGCCCGGGCCCTTAAATAGGGGCAACATTATTTACACAACGCCGCGTGGGTCGCGAGGAGTTCATTTTGGCCCCCTCCTGGGATAACGTGATGCGGGAATGATATTTTGTAGGGTGCTGACTTCACCTCTTGTTGGCCCATACCCGGTGCCACTTTACTTGGGGCCGCATTTGGCGGCCTTTGGGTCCATGTCTCGGCGGGGGAGCTGGGTATTTGTCTTTTTTTTTATTGCGCCGTTCACTCCGCATCCCCCACACAGGTGCCTGGCCGGCAGGACACGCGTGGGACACAATGCACAGAGGAAGAAAGTGGGGGCACAAAACTCGACCCCCTTGCCAACCGGCGGACATCCCGCCACCGCAGAGGGGGAGGAAGTGCGCCGAGGAAAAACTCCCCCGACGACAGAGCCAGACCCCCCACAGAGACATGGGCGGCTGGTCGGAAAAAAAAAACAAAAAACAAAGAGCCGGACTGACCAAAGGTGCCCCCTGCAGCGGACGCCTGCCTTCGCGCATCCCTCCCCCCTGGCGCCCTGCCGCGGCCGCGGATTGGCGCCCTGCGCCCCATCTCCTCCCCTCCCTGCTGAGGGCAGACACGCTGGGAGCTCACGCGGGCGGGCGGAGGGGAAAAGGCCGCGGGGAGGGACAAAGTCATATAGCAGTGGGATTGGGGGGATCTATATAGGTGTCGGGGGAGAGGACGTCCCGGACATATACGTGTGCACGTCGAGCAGCATGCGCAGATATACATGGAGGGGGGGGGGGGGTGGGGGGGTGGTGAGAGCTCACCCTCCAACGGATCTCTCTCACGCAGTCGGGGGCGGGGGAGCAGGCGCTGGCGCACACATACACGTGTGCACACAGCGCCCCTTGCGGGATCTCGCCTCCACCAGGGGCCGACAGGCACACGCTCCGACTCCGCCCTCGTATGACGGTCGAATGGGGCGCGGTAGGTGGGAGGCATGGTGCCGGGCGTGTGGCTAAAATCCCTTCCCTCGCCCTATGCCGCCACCTCTACCTCTGCGCACAGCACGCACGCGCACACAGAGTAGGGCACACCCGAAGAAAACGAGACAAGGAGAGGGAGGGTGGAGGAGGAAAAAGGCAAGGACATGGGCCCCCCCCCCCTGCCTGCCTGCCCACAGCTCCCTCTCCGGGAGCATGGGAGCGTGTCCGGCTGAGTGCTGGTGCTGGTGCATGGGCACGCCGGCGGACGGAGGAGAGACAGAAGAGGACGCCGGCATCAGGTCTAGTATCACAAGGGCGGGGAAAGGGGGGGGGGAGGGGGAGGGCAGAGAGGGACGGCGGGAGGGGGGAGGCCAGTTGCGTGGCAGACAGCACACACCCAAGGCAAAGGAGAGATCGAGCGGAAGAGAACTAGGACGCATGCGCGGCAATACACATAGCACGGGCATCAAAAAAAAAAGACCATGGCACATGGGGCTCTCTCTCGCTCTCGCTCTCGCTCTCTGCCTGTCCCCCCAGGACCGCCCGCAGCCGCCCCCGCCCCTCCCCGCGCTCGGGCCCTCCCGCAGGCCTCTCTACCGCGGAGAAGAGGCGGCTGACGAGGACACCGAGGCCAAGGGGACGGAGCTGCTGACGAAGGGCAGGCGAATGGCCTCACCCGACTGGAGACTCAGGTGCAGAATGGCCAGACGCCGGGCACACTGGCCCGGGAGGATGGGATCCCGGGCCAGGGCCTCCGGGCAGGAAGCCACACGGGTTTCCACCGCCTCGCTGAGGATCACCATGCGGGCGATGTAGGCCGACACGGCGTACGGGTCGGCGTCGCTGCGCGGGCGCCGATCCTCCAGGTAGAAGCCGCTGTTGTGAATGCGACGCGAAGCCACCGGCAGGCGGATGGAGCACGCGCGGTTGGCCATGCCGAAGGTAAACTGATCCCGGTGGGCCGAGCCCTCCTGGCAGCCGGACCCATAGGCCATCTTGAAGGAGTCCCCCCCGCCGGCCAGGCGGATGCACGCCTGAATGACGGCCTCCACCCCGCGGCAGGACGGGGCGGACGGCGGCCCGGGCGGCGCGAGCCCCTGGTTGGCAAACCAATCCAACACATTGGGGCAGTTGCTGCAGGTGCACTGGATGGCCTCGATCTGCTCGATGGTTTTGAGCGACCGGCTGCTGCCGGCGACCGAGGCCCCGGAGCTGCCGGGCCCCATCTTCGGCGAGGAGGGGGACGACGGCGAGGAGGAGCCACTCCCGGCATCGGCCGAGTCGTCGCGCATGGTGACCGTCGAAAAGTTCGTGTGCATGCCGGATCCATTCCAATGCGGGGCCAGGCGGCCGGGGGCAAAGGAAATGGCCTTGCCAAAGTCCTCGGCCACCTGCTGCAGCAGGAAGCGCGCCATCCACAGGTGATCCGCCGCCGCGGTGGGTTCATGCAACGCGCGGAGCAGCTGCAGGCAGTGGGGGAAGTCAAACTGGCGGAAGGGCATGGTATCGGCCCCGGGATGGCAGGGGCCCACCTGGAACTCCCACTGGCCGGGGACCGTCTCGGAATTGGTGCCGCTGATGTTGACCCCGGCATACATGCACGCGGCCAGGTGCGCCTCGACGATCTGTCGGCCGAAGGATCGCCCGGCACCGACACTGCAGTAATGCGGGCCCTGGGCCGGGAACGGGGTGGCCCGGGGGCAGCCCACCGGCAGCCCGGTCTCCGGCTCGATGATGTAGTACTCCTGCTCGAAGGCGAACCAGGGCTGGGCACTGACCACCGCCTCGTCGCCGAGGGCCTCGGCGAGGGCCTGCTCACGCAGGTTGCTGGCATGCGGCCGGCCATCGGCCGAGTAGGTGGAGCACAGCACCAGGATATTGTGCCCCGGCCGGAAGGGGTCCCGGAAGGCGTGCACCGGCCGGATGGTCACATCGCTGTTGATGTACCCGGTCAGCGAATGGCCGGTGCTACTCCCGTCGAAGGTCCACTCCGGGATGGTGTACTGGATCTTGCTGCGAGGCAGGGTCCGGGTCTTCTGGCGCAGGGTGATCCCATCGGCATCGACCCAGACGTAGGTCACGCAGACCAGCGTGTCTGTCCGGCTACCCAGCTCCAGATAGCGCGAGAGGATGGCCTCGTTGTTGGCCTCGGCCGGGCTGAGGCCGAACAGGGACCTCGAGGAGGCGGGTGTGGTGGCGAGCAGACGGGGATCCATGGTGCTGTGTCGGTGGTGACGGGGGCGGATGAAAAGAGGGGCAGACAAAGAGGGATGTAAAATGGTTTAGAGGGGGGCCGCGGGGGGGGGGAGAGAGAGAGAGAGAGAGAGGGAGAGGAGGCAATCGAAACGCAGGGGCGGGTTGCGCGGACACATGGGCCGTACCAGGCGGAGGGGGGACTAGAAAAGAGGGGGCCCACTGGGACAGTGGCAGGAAGGGGGGGGAACGCGCGCGCGAGGGGGGAGGAATGTGGACACCGTGTGCTGGCCAGGGCGCGACAAGCGGTCGAGGCGAGGGCGAGAGGTGCGGGGAAGCACGCGTGCGGGGAGGGTGAAATGGCTCGTGGGGCTGGAAGTAGGGGGCGGTGGTGGTGCGGGCGGGCGGCAATGGCGCGACTGAAAAAGGAGGTTCGGAAAGGGGAAAAGGTGGCCCAGTGGCCCGGGAGAGGGGGTGGAGGGGAGGACGAAGGACGGGCGGAGCCAGAGGCCGGGCCCTGGCGCACTGCCACACCGCCAGTCCATCCCCTCCCCCCGGCGCCTCGCTCCTCCCGGGGGGGGGGGCACCCAACGGGCGGAGTGGGCTGCACCCGGGCCGGGGGGATTCTCTGGGGCGCGGGCTCTGCCCACAGGCCCCGTGGTGCGCGGGCTGCCCGAGGCCGGGGTGGGCCAGACCCGCATCCACGGCTGGCCATCTGTCCGCGGGAGGGAGGCGGGGCGACCCTGCAGCTGCGCGATCCGCCAGCATCATGGCTGGCTTACCTGGGCCCGGGAGAGAAGGGGGCGCCCGAGCGCCCTCCTCCAACGACCGAGTCGGATCGTCGCATGCCCGCCCGCTCGCCCGCGCCCCCCATCGGCGTGGTGCCCCTCCCCGGCCTCGGGGCACGCGAGCGATGATGTGCTCCTGTCCCCGCACCACAGGGAGAGGGGGGGGGGGGGTGGATTTTCTCAGGGCACCGCGCGGCCCCGGCACTGCGGAAGGCCAACTCGGCGTCGTCCCCCCTTCGCCCGGGGGCGCGCGTGTCGGCCCGAGGGCGTGTCCCGACCCGCGGCCCCGGCCCAGGGTGGGACCAGGGCAACAACACACACCCGATGGAGGGATAAATACGCCAACCTGCTGGGGGCGGACTGAGGAAGACGGGGGTGGCCGGGTGGCGGGGGGGGGGGGGGGGGGGGAAAGCACACGCCCTAGCCCGGCCTTGCGGTCCTCGGGATCGGGCGCCCTTTTTGGGGCCGCCCCCAGCCGCGCCGTTGGAAGCCATGTGTGATACGCAATCCGCGCCCCGCCACCCGACGGCAGACCGGCATGGGAATCGGGCGCGCCGGAGCGCCTGCGCGCATTCACGGGGGCCACCCGCACGTCCCGGCCGCGGCGAGCGTCCCCCAGGGGGCGCGCGAGGCGTGCGATATTCCAGCCGCCTCCACTGTTGCTGGCTTCTTCGGGGGGGGGGGCACATCCGTCGGCACACAGCCGCCGGCCCGGAACGCCCAGGCGGGCCGCCGCCTGGGCGCCTCTGATTTGACAGATAACAACATCCAAGGGGGCGCGGGAGAGGCCCTATCATTCGCCAACAGCACCGGCGACCCATGGGCGTCGCGGCCTGGCTGACTGGCTGGCTGGCTGCGCGGCACCGCCGCACGCCCGACGGCCGGGCGTGTGCTCCGGTGGGGGGCGCCGGCCCCCAAAAATGGGCCGTGGCCGGCTGGCCCCGGTGGGCACTGGAATAACGACCGGGCGGGGCACGGTCTCCCTCCTCTCGCCCTCGCCCCGCTGGAAATGGGGCGCGCCCAGGACAGGAATGGGTGAGCTGGCTCGGGCGGGGCCTGCCGCATGTTTACAAGCTGGGCGATGCTGCCGATCCGCCCCCCCCCGCCGCCGCCGCCGGGGCGCCGTGTTCGGCCCGACGGCAGCGCGGGGGCGGCGCGCGAGAGGAGCCTCCACCCCTCGGATGTCCGCCCGGGGCCGACAAAAAGCAAGCAAGGGCGGACACGTCCTCGGGGTCCCGCGCGGGGCCACGGGAAAATTGGCATCACACCGGTTGTGGCGCCTCGGCCGACCCCCACGCCGCCGGGCCCCTCCCCCATGCGGTGTCCTCACAACAATGTTCCTGCCCCGCGCCCCTGCACACGCGCAGGCGAGGCGGAAAGGAGGGGCGTTACCCTCGCGGGGGCTGTTTTCCCCCGGCGATCCAGCCCAGCCAAGACCCCTGCGCGCGTCTCGCGAGCGCCTCCCCCCCGCAGGCTCGCCTCTTGAAAGCCCCACTTCGTTATTCACGCCACCCGGCCGCCCGCCCGGGGGGCCAGAACGGCGGTCGCACCCACGCCCGCAGCTGGGGGCATCTTTCACACCGCCTGGCATAGAATGTTCTGCCCAAGTCCCGGGCGGCGCTCCGCCATCCCCCCCCAGTCCCCGCACACGCACGCACGCACGCACGCACACACGCACACCCGAACTCCTCCTGCCGGGCTCGGCCAGGGGTGCGGGGGCGCCGAAAAGCTGCTATCAATCTTTCACAAATTCCCCCACCCCGCTGCCGCTGTTGGGAAAAACTATCGCCCATGCTAACACGGACCAAGCGCCACGGGCCATCAGAACTGTACACCATAGTTCAGTGTGGTGAATCACGCCTCGTGGTCTCGTGCACGAAGCGACCGCCACATTTGTTCATGTTATATTTGGGCGTCAATAAAAAGCGTGCATTATCATCGGATGACCCTCCCCGAGGGGGACCCACCAACACTCTCCCCGGGGCACAACGCCCGGCCACCTCGGAGACCAGCCACAAGAGGGATTTATCAACCTGTGCTTTTGTCGCCATGCTCGTGCGGCTGCCGGGAGGCCCCCGGCGCGGGTGTGTTGTCTCCGGCGAGGGTTTCTCTCCTTCCTGGCCCCCGCTCCCGGGGGGAGTCTCGCACCGACTGGGCGCAGCACGACTGCAGTGTGTGTTCATACCACCCCCCTTTCACAGGGCCGGGGGGGCCGCCTTGCCGCTGCAGGGTCGCCGGATTCCCGGGGGGGGGGGGGGGACGTGTTTTTGATGCCCCGGGCATTGGCCGTTCGGCCGGGCGCCCTCTCCTTTGGGCCAGGCCTGCTCTGGGGCCCCGTTCGCGCGGCGAGCTGGGGACCGGCTCTTCCGGGATGGGACGCGACTGTCCTGCCGACGCGGAGGGACCGGGAGTCGCGTCCGCCGGCAGCTGCAGGCGGCTGGCGGCTCGCGCGGTGGGCACCACACAGGGCTCCCGCGCCGGGCGTGTGGGCGTCTCGGGTCGTCCCGGCAGCCCTGGCTGTGGGACGAGCTGCGGCCCGGATGTGAGGAGCCGAGGACAGGGGCACTTTCTGGAGATGTGCGCATGTTCGGGGAACGTCTGTGTACCTACCAGGGGAGAGGGGGGGGGGACTGCAGCAGCGACCGACCCCCCTCCCCGGGAGGGGGTCAAGGCGACGGCGCGCCCCGGGCGGGGGGGGGGCCACCCACGGCCGGGCGGATGCGGGGGCCCTGGCGCGCGCGCCTGTGTGTGTGTGTGTCCTCGCCCTGGCTGTCCCCCCCCCCCCCCCCGGGCCGTCGCCCTCCCCCAGGGCGGGCCTGCGCCAGGCAGGCCCGGGGTACCGGGGGGGGGGGGGGGATCCTGCCGCCCTGGACCCCGGCCAGCATGCAAAAATCCACTTTTTGAGCTGGTGTCCTGGCGACATGCACCGAGTGAACTCCCTCTTCGTCTGCGTGTTTGTTGTCCACCAATCACTGGCTGAGAAAGGTACTTTCGCTGTTACCTCCTCTCGCCGTCCCCCCTCCCCCCCTCTCTTTTCCCTCTCTCTCCCTTGTGCCCCCCCGCCCCCTCCCCCAATTCTCCGCCCGCCTGTTGCCCCACCCGTCCTGTCTGCGCGCCTCGGTCTGTGGCCTCCTTCCTCTCTCGGTGGGTCTCCCGTCCGTTTGCCGCGCGTGTGCTGTCTCCTGTCGCTGCCCGGGTCGGATGTGCTTTCCCGAAATTGCATCCGACGCACGCGCCCCCCGAAGGCCATAGTTGTGCGGATTTGCGCGCGCGCGCGGGCGCCGTGTGTCTGGACACATGCCCTCTTGCGCCGTCTCCATGCTCTCTATGTGCCTTGGGAGGGGGGGGTGCGGGCAGTCGCCGCGCCGCAGCACACTCGGCCCGGGCTTCCGCGCCACCCATCTTCCCTCCGCCTCCATTTCTCTTCGTCTCGTCTAGCGGATGCTTGTCGTGTGCCGACTGTGCTTTTCTCCGCCCTTGCTCAGGGGGAGCACTCTCGCGACGTTTGTGATTGCGTCTCTCTCTCTCTCTGTCGCTCGGCCCGCACGCGTGTGGCTTGCCCGAGTGCTGTGGGCGGGCTTGCCACGCCGCAACCGCACATGGACACCGCCCTGGCCCGGGGTTCGGCACTGTCGGACCCCGGTCTCCGCCAGGGCGCGCGCCTTGCGCGCCTTGCGCGTGTCGCGCACGCCACGGGCCGTTGGCACGTGTGTGTGCGCCCGGGCGTACCTGGGAGAACGATGCAGTCACATTCGCACGCGCACGCGCGCGACCACACGAGAGAGATGGACGCCGAGGGAGAGGAGGGGCGGGGGACTCGTGTGAGGCACACGCCTCCTTCCAGCGAGGGGAGCATTTATAAGGGGCCAGCCCCTCTCCCACTCATCTTCCTTTCTTCCTGCCTTGCATCTCGCACCGCGACCGCGCGCGCCCTCGTCACTCACACACACACGTCCTTCCCTCTCCGTCTCCTCCCCTTCCCCCTGCCTCGCGCGCACGCACGCGCCAAAGTCACCATGCAGATTTTCGTTAAGACCCTTACCGGTAAGACCATCACCCTTGAGGTTGAGCCCTCTGACTCGATCGACGCCGTCAAGGCTAAGATTCAGGACAAGGAGGGTATCCCCCCTGATCAGCAGCGCCTGATTTTCGCCGGCAAGCAGCTCGAGGATGGCCGCACCCTCTCCGACTACAACATCCAGAAGCGTGCGTCGGCTTTCTCCTTGTCATCCCCCCTCTCGTTGCGTGCGCGCGCATGCACATGGCGCCCCGTCCTCTGACCACCTCGCTTTTCTCGCTCTCTTCCCCCCCCCCTCCCGCGCGCAGACTCCACCCTGCACCTCGTCCTCCGTCTGCGTGGTGGTGTCATTGAGCCCACTCTCCGCATTCTGGCCTCCAAGTACAACTGCGACAAGATGATTTGCCGCGTGTGCGTATCTGCTTTTCCTCTTTTGCCTACTGTGCCGCGCGCTCCGCCGGGCGCGGATGCATCGTGCATCTTTCGCCTGCGTGCCCTTCCTCGGCCGCGCGCCTCACCTCTCGGGGTTCCCTCCCATCTGCTGACCCATGTCTCCCCCTCTCTCCCTCTCTCTCTCCCTGTTCCTTTCAGTTGCTACGCTCGCCTCCCCGCCCGCGCCACCAACTGCCGCAAGAAGAAGTGCGGTCACTCCAACCAGCTCCGCCCCAAGAAGAAGCTCAAGTAAATGAGCGTCTCTTCTCTCTCGAGCTCTCTGCTGGGCGCGCCTGCGCTCTTGCACATGTGTCGCCGCGACCTCGCGCGCGTGCATGCGTGCAGTGTCGGTCGCGATCCTTCGCTGTGCATCTGAGTGTCTCTTGTTGTGCGATGAGTCCGTCAGAGATTGTCGCCCTTTCCCTCTGGGGGGGGACTTGCTCTCCTGTCAGAATGATACCCTCACTTTCTTGCGGATTTCCCCTTCATATATCTCCCTCGTCTTTTCCTTCCTGTCTGTCTGGGTGCATGTGTTTTTTTTTGTGGGGGCTTTCGCGCGCGCGCGGTGTGTGTGTGTGTGTGTGTGTGCAGGGTTTGAGCCCGGCGCATGCCCGTCGTCCTTTCCGCCTGTCGCGCTGCCCTGTCCACCCCGCCGTAGGCGGCTGGCAGGATCCGGGCAGAGAGAGGGCCGAGGGAGGTGAGACGGCGGCACGGCTATCAAGCGGGGGCTGGGTTGTGCGGTCTTGTGGCGCCGCAGCCATGCATGCGTCCATGAGCCAACGCCGCGCTCTTGCGCGGGCTTGGGCGGCCAGATGCGGCGCAGAGGTCTACGCGCCCGCAAACCGCGGCGGTATAGGCGCAAATGCAGGGCACCTGCTCTTGGCACTGCGTGCCCGGTTTTCCGGCTCAGGTGCCGGGGGGGGGGGGCGGCAGCCGGGCCGCCCGTTGTGGGGAGAGTGTTTTTTCATGGCAAGGGAGATTCGCCCCCCCTCTCATCAGCAAGGGGCCGGGGGCCGGAGCGTGTGTGGGGGTCCCTCTCTCTGCCTGTTGTCCGGCGGTCGAGGCGGGCTCTCGCTGTGCATCACTTGGGTCCCGGGGAGGGGGGGCGGTAGCCTGGCCCGTTGCCCGGGACGCGCGTTTTTTCTCCGCCCGTGTGTGCGTCCAGCACCTTCGCCCCCCCCCCCCTCCCCTCCCTCTCTCCCTCGGCTCGCGTGTGGTGTGCTCACCGGCCTGCTCTCCGTGCCTCGGCCCCGAAGGAGGGGGCGCCGGGCGCCCGATTCCGATTTCCCCCTCTCGGCACCGAGCCCGCGCCGGCATCTACACCTCGATCGTCCCCCCGGAGCGTGCGGGCCGGGGCAGGCTCCGACAGCCCCCTCGCCCGAGCGCCATGTATACGGAAAATGCCCGCACTCACACGTGTCCAGCCAGGGCGCGCTCCAGCAATTCGCGCCTGGCAATCTGCCCACGGACGGCTCCTTATCCCGGGCCGCAGCGCGGCCAGGCCCGCCCAAACACATGCGACCTCCCGGCATCTTCTCGCCTTTTCGCCCCCCCCCCCCCCCCCCTCCCGCGCGCGCGCGCCTCCTGTGCCCCTATCCCATTCTTTCCCAACCTCCCCCCCGCACATGATGCTCCCCGGACGAGCGCCGCTCTCGGCGGCCCTCCGCACGGCCGGGCAGCTCCCCCATCTCCGAGCAGCCGCCCTGCGAGCCTTCTCCACGTCAGCTGAAGCGGCCGATCCCGCTCCCCCGGCTCCCCCTCGGCTGAGCGTCGGCGATCTCACACCCAAGATCTCGCACGGACCCACCTCGGTCGGGCCCTTCCCCCCGGCCAAGCATGTTGTCCTGGCTATCGAGACCAGCTGTGATGACACCTGTGTCTCAGTCGTGCGTGCTCCGCTGTTTTTTCTTCTCTCCCCCCCCGTAACCCCTGGCCTTCCCCGTTGATCACTCACCCTGCTTCTTTCTCCCTCTCCCCCTCCCCTCTGCCGGCAGGTCGACAGCAACCGTATGATCCGGTCCAACATCCAGCTCTCGCAATTCCAGGCTCTCCGATCCTTCCAGGGGGTGCATCCTCGGGTAGCAAGCGCCTTCCACTCAACCCGTCTGCCGATCGCCATCCGCACGTGCGCACTCGCTCGCTCCGATCCGCCCCCCCCCCCC